CATTGCTTCAAATTTCTGAAATATATTGTTTGCCTTTGCATGTCTCAAATGTCATTAAGCCAGAAAACATCTTAAAAAGGTAATTTACTTTGTATGAATCAATTTAAAGAAGTATTTCATAAAAAAACATAATAATTCCCTTTCCTTTTATTTTACTTGTCTTGAACTATTTAAAAAAAATAAAGTTTTAAATGTAGAAATAGTTCTAAATTTTTTAGATTTCTTTAGCATGATGTTTTGTACTAGTAGATATTGTTAGTTTTTTATTTATATATACCAAATTTATAATTTTTTATAATTCTAATTCAATTTTACCTAAAAATTTGGTTCTATAACTAAACTTTTTATGAACTATATAATTGTCAAATTTTAATAAACAAATACTTATCATTATCACACTTGGTCAGTTTTTATATAAAATAAAGTGTTTTTTAGTAGTTAAAAATATTAATTTTTTAGTTATAATTCAATCACAATTTTTTAAATTATGCAAAGTTTACTAAATATAACATAATTGTTTTTTTTTCCTCTAAAGAGTCTATAAACCAAATTTAATATTTGATAAGAATTCTATTAGCAAGTTTTTTTTTAACAATTTATTGAAAAAGTGATATATGTTTGAAATTATAGTTCTATATGTTACAGTTGTAAAATATCAGTGTATTAACAGTGCCATGTTGTGCATGGATGGTGTCCTTCTTAATGTTTTTGGTGCACATTGTTGAGGTCACAAAAAGGAGCCCTAAGTTACAATTTTGGGTTAATTTACAGGGTTGAGACAACTGCCTAACTCATTGCTTGGGATGTCTTGTTTTATCTATGATTGAGTCAAGTTATCTTTAAACTTAAATCATGTCAAAAGTAATCCAAAATTTTAAACATAAAAAAACATCCTCCCCCACCTTACTGTTTTAATATAACTTTTACAAATATTCGTGGTCTGCAAAGCAACCTTCCATCAGTTTAATCTTACCTCTTGGTTTTAGTGAAACTAATTTTATTTCTGCTATTTGTTCTTCAGATCTCAGTGTTAATGGGTACTATCCTTTGGTTTGCAAAGACTCTAATTGTCACATGCTTGACCTGAGAATATACATATGCATTAATTCACCTATTTGTTGTGAAATCAGATTTGGGTCCTTTGACCATTCTTTAATGTGATTCTCTTTGTTCTTTATTGATCTCCTTCCCAATTAACCAGGTTAATCCATTGTTAGACATTCAAATTTCTCCAGCTTACCTTTGCTAAAGTTATATCTCAATTAAACTCTTCTACGGTTTGTGGTCCAGACAACATTCCTATTACTCTCTTAAATTCTCTCTAAACTATTTAATAAGTGCTTGACTGAGTCTTGTTTTTCTGCCTTCTAATAATTGGCATTTGTAGTTCCAATTTTCAAAAACCTAGGAGAACATTTTGACCCCTCCATTTATTGTCTAATCGGTCTTCTTTCTGTTTCTAGCATGGTCTTTGAGTCTTTGATTAACAAATTTCTCACATCCCATCTTGAGCTAGACTTCAGATAATGATGATTAATTTTGATGGTATTAATTGAACTATCAAAATCAAACTTGATCATAAATTTGACTGTTAATAGCTATAACTCTCATCACTTAATTGACATGATTGGTTCATAACTTTTTTTTCTCATAGACGCTTTATTTAACTGTATAATCAAATAGGCCCTGCTAAGAGACTGAAGCGTCAAAATAATCAACATTGGCTTTAGCTGGATGGCATTGTTGTTTAGTTTGTTGAATTAAAACGTCACATGTTAGCATCTTTAGAAATACATATTAAGAGCATTTTATTATATTTTTATCAATATACTGTTTCTAGTAAAACAAAAGCTTCACTTGATGAGAGTTATTTAATTTTTTGCATTTTTTTAGTGAGAGATTATCAAAGTTTGCTTAATCTTTCCAATTCATTAAAACATTTTCATGACATGAAATAATATTTTTATCCTTCTGTAAAGTCGTTAAGTCTGGTAACACTTATTCTAAAAAATATGGTCTGCACATTTCACAAAATTTAACTTTTTTCAGTATTAGTTAAGATAAAGGATTAATTACTAAAACAAAAAAATATTAAAACAAAAAAATATTACATAATACATACAGAATGCTCTGAAAGAAATAAAATATATTTTTTATATTTTATAAAAAATTAAAAATTTGTTTTATCCTAAGCAATCTTCTTAAGCTTTTTTATATTTATTTCTTTTTTGTGTGATACAGTAGAAAGAAAACAAGAACAAAAGACAATTGTTTTTAAATAAACTTTGAATGAATGAGTTTGATACTTTCATCTATTTTAGTTGCGTGCGTCACTTTTAAATAGATTTAAAAACTTTTATTTACAATAAACCTGTATGGCTGTAAAAAGTTTTCTTTTACATTTATTTTCATTTTTATATTACAAAATGTAAAATAAAAAATTTGCTTGATAATATTGATTTTTTACGACAATTTTTTTTTTACTGTTTCCGTGATCATCTAAAACTTTTTAAATAGCAGAAATGCTTTTTAATTGGCGAATGTCAATAATTTTTTTTTTTAATTTTGTTATATTTTAATAAATTTTTTTTTAGCTTTTTTACATAGATATTCATAGTTTTGTTCATATAGTTTTATATAATTTTTATCTTGAATTAAATTTTTTTGTAAAACTTTGAAATAATTTACTATTGTATTAAAATTACATCTGGCATTTTGTTATTCGATTAATTTAGGTAATGCAATAAATTTTGGAATAGAATGTTAGTTAAATAAGCTTTCGTTGCAATATACTTTTTCAGAATTATTTTAAATTTGTTTACTGCACAAGGGCGGTAAATAAATTTAAGCTTTTAGTTTAAATATGTAATAACTTTTTATAAATATCTAATTTGTAAATTTATTTAAAATTTTTTTTTTTATTTGCATTTACTCCCAACAAGGCTGCAAGCAACCACTAATAAGTTGGGAGTTACTAAGAAAAAAAAAGAACAGAGTTATAGAGCAAGGAAATGGTTGACAGAAGACTTGAAAAGTTGAAGGTTGTATGAGTCAGGAAAACATGAAGATGGGAGAGAGTTCCAAAGGATTGAAGTGCGGGGGAAAAAACTAGATGAATAATAAATAAATATAATAATCTTTTTTTATGTTTTAAGCAAATAAAACATATATGAAAAAAAAATATATGAAAAATAAAACATAAAAATTAAGTGAATTAGCCAATGAAACATAAAAATAAATATGCAAATAAAACATAAGTGATACGTTTCGTTTCAAGTTTGGTGTACTTTAACAGCATATTTAGTTAACAGTATTTTTAATTCTCTTAATAAAAAATGTTAATAACTCATTTTAGAGGTTTTCTATGAGGAAGTGGGGCAGGCATGAATAAAAATTGAAATGGTGGATTTCAAATCTTAAAAATTTGTCCCACTTTCTCTTTGAACACCTCTTTAAAGTATATTATTTTTTATTTATTATTATGCAAAGATTTTTGTAACTTTCTGAACTGCATACAGCATAAACAGCAGTAAAAATATAAATAAAGATTTTTAATGATAAAAATATATATTAAAAAAATATATATTATAAACACAATGAAAAATCTAAACTAGAAAACAGCTGACATCAATAAAAAATAAAGTTTATTTTAACTTTTGAATGACCTTGCTTGTTAATGACAACACTTTTTCACATTAAAAAAACGATTGTTCTAGATCAACATAAATCATTTTTTTGTTGTGGATTTTTTCTACACGTCTAGCGTAACTCATTTTTTTTTTATTAAGATTTTTGTAATCTTTGAGAATTTTAAACTAATTTGGAATTCTACATTAAATGCTGGGCCATCAGGCTGGTTAACACCCTGAATTCATTCAAATTAATCATTTTGAATGTTAAGAGCTCCTTTTCAAAAAAGTTGATTGATATAAATTGCAATTTAAATGTTTACAAAAGTTTTCTGTCAAAAGCATTTTTATAACTATCAAGAAGAAAAATTCAAATATTTGGGAAGTTTTATTACTAGAATGTTTTTGTTATTACAGAAACTATAAAATGTAAGTAAAAAGTTAGACAATTTAGGGTCTAACTTTATTGTAAGAAGTTAGACAAAAAACTTAGAGTATTACCTAAAGTTCAGATGAGGAAATTTTGCATTTTGTCTTAACATATTTTTTTTATTCCAGTTTTATTTTTTTATTATTTTATTATTATATTTTTAGTACTTGCGTTGTTCATTTTTACTTATTGCATTATTTAATTTTATTAATTGCCTTATAACTCATATGCTAAGTTACAGTATATTCAAAACTCAATTGTTTTCATATTATAAGCTTAAGATTTTTAGCAGCTGTGGGGCGGTGGTTGGAGTTCTGGCTCAGAACCAAGATATTTAATTTTAATGCTGCCTATAGCCCAATAAGTGACATTGATACAAAATGAGGCATGAAATTTCTGTTTAAAAAGAAATCTTTTAAGTCCTAAAAATCTACCCGAACAAATATGTCCCTGTTTTCCTAAAATTTTCTTTGATCTTAATAAAAAACAATATAGTATTTTATTGAGAGTTTGTATGTTTTGTATTTTAGTAGTTGCATCATTCAATTTTATTCATATGCTAAATTACAATATATTCAAAAATCAATTGTTTTCATATTATAAGCTTAAAAATTTTAGCAGCTGTGGCACAATCCTGGTTAGAGTTCTGGCTCAGAACAAAGATGTTCAAGTTTGATGCCGCCTCTAGCCCGACATTATTACAAAATGAGGCGTGATATTTCTGGTTAAAAACCTTTTTCGCAATGCTCTGTGAATATACTGTTAGATCTTTTTGGTCATAAAAATCTACTGTAACAAATGTCTCTGTTGCATTTTCTTTGCTTTTAATAAAAAACAATATAGTATTGTATATTTTTTGAGAGTTTGTATTTATTGTTAAACCGTTCTGAAAAAAGACTGAATATGGTTTAAGTCAAGTTTTTATATTTACTGTTGTTAAGATTGCAAGTATCGAACTCCACTTGGAATGAGAAATGGATACATAAAAGCTAGCCAACTTACAGCATCATCAATATATAGCGGTGATGATGGGAAAATAAAAAATGACAATTACAGACCACATATGGGAAGATTAAATAATAAACAGTGTTGGTGTTCAAAGAATCTTGGGTTATCAGAATGGTATCAGGTAAAATTTATTATAAACAGTTTATAACCAGTTCATTATAAACATTTTTTTTTACATAATAAAAAACAAGAGCTATAATAAATAGTTATTAATTAATTATAAATCGATTAAAATATCTTGCTTACTTACAGAGTAACTAAGATGTTTTATTTTTTAAATTTATGATAAAAGGAGTTTACAGCTATAGTGTCTTCTAAAGAAAGCAACTTTTTAAAAATATTTTTTTGACTAAAAGCGTTTTAAATTAAACCAAGTGCATTGAATGCACTAAACAAAATAATTTTTAAATTTTTTGTATTTACTTAAATCATAACACAATTATCTTGTTCACCATCAGTTTTAAACATCACTTTTTATCAAAATCATGCATAAATCATATTTATTTCTTGAGTTTGTTTTGCCCAAATTCCGGATTTTAAATTTAGTATAATTAATTTTTCTTAACCAGGCTAATGACCATTCAATAATTTAGACAATAATTATAACACAAAAATAATTTATAGCAATAGACAAGCTTAAAATATCTGAAATGTTTTATTCATATTTTTAATGCGAACTTTGTAAAAATAACTAAAAAGTTCTATAGTAATTTATGATGAAAAAAAACAAAACTTTTATATAATATCAAGTAACTAAATAAATTCTTTAGTTATCTATAATAAAAAAAATTCTTAAACTTGATTAAAAAAATAATTTTTAGATTTCTTATCAAAGTTCTACTATGAGGTTATATACTAAAAGACTTTGGAATTAAACATGCTTGAATATAAATTATAAAGTCTGTAGATTGCAGTTTATATTTTAAAGATCTGGCTTACATAGAGACAGCAAGCTTCGAGTAATACAAAAAGTTAGTTTTGTTTTACTCAAAAAAAAATTTTCTTCATTCTCTTTAATATGAAAGTAACTTGCCTTGCCACTTTAGGATCCCTTTAATACTTTGATGCTTTTATCTTTTTTTTTTATTTGGCATGTGTCATTTTATCAAATATTTTTAATATAACTCCAAGTATGACAATTTTACTAAGTAATTTTTTCTATGGCATCTATAATTATGTCTAACATTTCCGACCAATAAGTTAGGCAGTGTTTAAAGTTTAATGAATTCATAATGATTTTTATATAATAATCTAGACATCAATAATTAGTTCATTAGTTAGACATCAATAATTAGATCAATAGTTTTATATTGAAATGATGTAGAGATGTATCGGGTACTCGGCTCCGTCTTGGATTTCTTACAGTTTTTTTTTTAATTTAAGTCAGGCACCTGGCACAATCTATATGTTCTGAATACCTTGAAAGATTGCCAGTATAATTTGAGCTAGGTACTTGGTTCATATGTATTCAGGGTACCCAGGAAATCTGCCTGAATAGAGAGATGACCAGTTCCCAACATGTACTCTGCAACTTTTCCCAGGTACTCAAAACATAAAAGTGCTGGGTATTGGTGCTTTTTTTTTTCTAGAATGGAAGATGGATATAACTTAATCTAATTTTCAGAAGTTAATAAATACCTATTTTGATTTGTTTTCTTCTATTAACTAATTGGATTTTCTTTATTGAGTCATTATTCAATTTTCTTAAAACAGATAGCAGACAAGGTTATAAAGTTCAATACTTTTAATAGACTTATAGTGTAGTTTTACTTAATTTGAATTAGGTATACAGTTGAGTCATATTTCAACATAAAAATTTAATCTACTGATTACCTTGATCTCAATTCATACAAGAAAAATAATTTATTCGCAAACTAGCAAGTTTAATTTGAATTTTCATGCTAACGGAAGAATCAGTGCATTGCTTTTTATTTTACAACACAAGTCAATTTTAACTTTTGTTCAACAATGGAAGAGTAAACCAAGACAATTATTTGCTGTTTATTGTCTATTAGTACCAGGCACAAACACTTTGAAGACTGGAACTGGCTATTGGTACTGTTCTAATTGCTTGGAAAACAATCTACCATACTCTTCTCTGACAGATAAGAATTTTTAAGGTCTGGTGCAAATACTTTTACTCATAATTTAATTTATGACTAACATCTAACTTGAAAAATCTTATTCAAAATCTTAATAAACTTAAAAATGATAAAACTATGATAAAACAGAGTATAACAAAGCTGTTAGTGTTGATTCAAAAACCTGTTTACATATAAATATATCATTCCTGGCATAACTTTGAGGACCTAAAACTTCTGCTTTCCCTTATGAATAAAAAACTTAATATCATTGCTATATCTGAAATTTGTTTAAATCACAACAAAACATTTAGAACTGATATCACTTTAAATAGGTATGTCTTGGAACATACTGATTCTCATTCTTATATTGGAGGAACTCTTGTACATATAAAAAACTACTTTTTCCTAGTTCATCAGTGTTTGATCCACTTGTGCTAATATCAATAAATGTTTCAGCGATTTTACAGCAGCCTCTGCTCTGTTGTTGCTTTGTGAGTAATAGGCAGAAGAACGAGACTTTACACCATTTCAAAAGGATTAAAAAGATATAAGCTTCTACGAATGATTGATTTTCTAGTGGCCATGCCTTCATGTTGTTTGTTCAAGTTATATTATTATTATTATATTATTTTGATTTTGTGATGACATCAGTGCTTTTATCATTTTAGTTATTTGTGTTTGCATATGCATTTGCTGTTGTTGCATGTCTAACATCATCGTTGAGGCTTCTTGATTCAATTTTTGTTACTGATTTAGCAGTTGCCAGTTGTTTTTTTTAATAACTTAAATGTTTTATTTACCCTTTATTTTATTTCATTTGTAAAAATAAATTTCCTACTTCATTCATAAAAATAAATTTCCTACTTCATTTTCTTTATTTTATTTTGTGTGTCAAAATAAATTTATTATTTCTTTCGTTGGGTAGAATTTTTTATTATCTTTTTTTAATGTTTTGTTTTACTTATAGCGCCATGTATAATAAGTTGAAACAGATATAAACTTTGTTATTTTCTCCTATAAGACTCATATCAAAAAATTGTAAAATTTTTTGACATTGTTTGGCATGCTGGTCTTCTCCATAAGCTTGCTTTATATGGTGTATCTGGGAAAGTTTTTGGGATTATTAAATTGTTTTTTTCTAATCTTTATTAAAGTTATTCTTGAAGGCCAACACTATTCTTTATTTCCATTAACTTCTTGGGCACTTCAAGATTTTATCCTTGGTCCTGTTTTATTTCTTATAAGATCTTACAAGAATCTTACAGACAACTTTCTATCTGAAGTAGCTTTTTTTGCTGATAACTCAGCAAAAAAACCTACTTCAGTAAAAAAAGTTAAAAATAAAGATAAGAAAATAAAAAAGGTCTTCTTCTTTTGATTGCTTAGAACAGGCAGCTTATCTTGAATCTGATCTCATTTCTGTAAAAGATTGGGGTTCACAGTGGCCTGTATGTCTTAACTCCAACAAAATTCAGTTATTTACTGCAAACAACTACTGCAATACTGCCAACATTACCATAAAAATAAATCAACTCTTTAAGTCTATAGTTCTTTTTTGAGTCTTTAAAAATTATGTTTTATTAAGTCATAGTTTCTTATTGCTTAAAAAATCTATTGCAAACAAAAACATGAATGTAGGATTATATTTGGTGTTAATAGACTGTTAATGGTGAATCTCTTTTAATGGAACTCTATCCTTTTTTTTCTAGTAACTTAATAGATTGCAACCCTGTTGGGAGTGAATCAGAATAAATAGTATATATATATATATATATATATATATATATATATATATATATATATATATATATATATATATATATATATATATATATATATATATATATATATATATATATATATATCTGTGTATATATATATATATATGTGTATATATGTGTATATATATATATATGTGTATATATATATATATATATATATATATATCTACCTATAAGTATAATTAAACAGCATAATAAAACATGTCTATTAGTATAATTGAAGACAAAAAATCTGCATATTCTATGGTATGTGATAAACTTTAAAAAACCACTAAAAGGTTTGATTGAACAAATAGTATTTAGAAGACAGACTCAAGACATACTCAAAAAATTTTGCATTCTTGCAGATAAAAAATACCAACAAACTCATATCAGTTATTACAGACAGCTCCTAGCGCAATGTCTTACTGGCTCCAAAGGCTATGCAGGAATCCTGCATGGGCCTTAAGATTTTTATCTTGAAAGAGCCTTTTGGGAAAAAAAATTATTTTGCTATATTTTTTGAATGATCAGTAAATAATTTTTTATTCACTTTATTATCCCTTTCACCAATTAAATTCTCTAATTTTCTGGTTTAAAATGTTAAACTTTGATGTGCTAGTATATTAGTATTTTGCATAATAAAATGCAAACATTAGTTGCAAAAAATGTTAATTATTACATCAAATAAATCGATTTAATGATTGTAATAAATTAATGAAACCTTTTTTGTAATAAATTGATGAAAGCTTTTAAATGTTTGTTTAGTTTCTTATGAATGCTAATACCATTTTTAATGTTTTGTATGAGCGCAATTTTAATTTATCTAGTATAACCTTTTTTGTTTTATTTAAAATAGTAACGCATTTGTTTTCAAAACAAAAGTTATACGCTTATATCAAAGTTTTTATTTATTTAAACTCAGTATATATTAATTATAATATCAATAAAGTATTTATAATTCCTGGATTACCAATTGTACAGTTACAAAAAATAGTTTTAGCAATTAACCATTGCGCAATAAAATTTGTCCATTGATATGGTAAAATTCCACATCTATTTAGAAAATTTAGAAGGTCTATTTAGAAAAATCTCATCTAGTTTTTTCGGAAAAAGCATTCTAATGTGCAAGCGCGAAGTATAGAGAAATTGAGTTTAGCTTTAGTCTTAGCCATGAGCCATATAGCGATCTTTTCACTACCTTATTTACCAATAAATCCTCTGTTCAAAGTGATGGAATTAGTTGTTAAGATTATTAACAAAATATTCTGAATAAT